CACCCGCGCCTCCATTCATAGCGACTGGATAGCCAACTTCTGTGGAAAAGTTTCCCCGCTTAATTTTGCGGGAAGCATTTCGTCGTTAAATTTAGCGTGAAAACTTTACCCGGTGAATGATTGACGAGGCATCACGTCATGTCACACTGCGTCACACGTCCTGACGTCCCGTCTCTGGCGCCACAACGTCCCATTGAGAGCTCGCGTGAAACTGCGTCATGGGCACGTCGCGGGACGTTAACTCAGCAGACGAAAGATCCCCAGTGCTATCTCGTCACATCGTTGGCAGCAACCACAAAGGGAGTGTAATATTTTTAACATATATAAATTTCATAGATTAAGGATTTGAGTACCTTTCAGACGTAACTGCCTGGCAAGGAACAACAATTGCCAGTATTACTTGCATATTTATGAACGCAAAAATATGCTTGAGGCTTCTTTTTTTTTTTTACACATAATTTGTTCAAGGGCTGGATTTCATGCGCACAGCGTTACGCTCGAGCTTGACGTTTGCGCTCTCGTAACAGTTCTAGCTGGGCCATAGCTGACATGTACGCCAAAGAAGACAGCACATTACGTACCTACGCTCATAACGTTCGTGATGTGCAACTTCTCCCTGTATATTATTTTACCCTTCCACCTAACCTTGAAAAGGTCAGAAAATAACTTTTCTCCAGTTTTTATTTTCTCCGCCTCAACCACAAAATATTCTACGTTAGAGTGTTTAAGCAAATTATTTCTTCAAGATTTTTCTGTTCACGAGGGTACTTCGAGTTTCTTTCTTTGTTTTGTGTGTGTCGTTGATTTGCCTTACAATTGGCCCAAAACAGCAATAGACATAAAAAATCTTGTCACAAAATTGATATGTGCAGTTGTTAAATATTTAATTCCGGCCGACCGTTTTTTTTTTTTTTTTTTTTTGTTTTCTCATGCTAGAAGTTATTGCTATTTTAATTTTTTATCACGTGACCACAGCGGCATGCATATGTTCACTATTCGGCTAATGGAAGTCGTTTTCTATAGATTTCATGATACTTGTTGTTGTCACCGAAGCTCACTCCATCATTCGTCCAGCCACACCAAAAGCGTTGCTCAACCTATATGTTTTTTGCTGCCTGCCCGGCCTGCAATTCACCAGTTTTAAAAATTACTCGCCACCTGTTGGAAAGCGGGGATCGAAGATTTCCAGGATAAAACAAAGCGCGCATTCGGGAGAAAATAGGGAAGCATCTTATGGTGAAATCGGGTGGTCGCCTCTCTCCTCTGTCCTCGATTCAGCACAGCGCCAACAGCGCCCCCTTCTCGCCGCCAGAGCTACTCGGGATCCTTTTCAGCCAATCACAAATGCTGGCTTCAGAGCGCTCCGAGATTCTCAGACCAGTCACGGAAGTAAAATTTCTTAATTTTAGTAATGCATTAAAAAACATTAACAGAGTACGGTTGTGACACAAATTGTTTTATGCATCAGTATGTAAAAACAAAAACAGCAATATGCAATTTGATTTTTGCAGAACAGGACGAAAGCCAATGCTTGGAAAGAGTTGTCAACTCATCGCGTCTTCGACAGTGAACGCACCGTGATAGCTGTCGTGCATAGAACAGAGCAGGCAATTATAAAATGGTTAATAAACCCCCATTATAAACCCCCATTTTTCTCGCGGCGAAATATTGTGCAAGCAGGATAAAATACATATCGCCATGTGACACAAATGACTGTGTATTAGACTCAGCTTTCCCTTCATTTTACAACACAAACCTTTCAACGCACTTTTACCAAACCCGAAAATTTCTTGAAGCGACCACAAAACCCGGTAAAACAGCGGCGAGCTGTTTCTTCGTCCGTTAAGCTTAGCGGAATCACCGCCGCGAGATTCATGTTCTCTTAAAAGCACTGGGAATAGTTCACACGTCGACTTTTCCTGTTACGGTCACAAACAAATGTCGTCCCGTCCGTTGCAATCCTCGCACCGTCGAATGCACGAGCACTTTGTAGAACCACATAGCAATCGCCGTCTCGCCGGACCCGCACACCACCACAAACCACTGCCGGCCGTCGTCAACAAAACCTCGTGATTCCCGTCCAAGTACCACGTGACGCCTGCGCCGCTCCGCACTCCGACGGCTACAGACGGAGTGCCAGAGAGCGCTCTCAGAGGGAGAGGCGCCCTCGGAAAGAACCACCCGATCAGGCCACAGCACTCTCTTTCAACCAACCCAATTTCCCGCGCTCTGGAAAGAGCGTTGGAGAGCGCGCAGAAAGAACCACGCGAATTCGCCATTAGAACGAGGTTGATGGTAGAAAGAGAAGTCACAATCGGAAAAAGGGATATTGGGGTAGCGAAATCGAGGATCACGGCAGCTCAATGGAGCCATTTAGGTCGAGCTTCCTTGTCTCGGGGAGTGCCCGCACTCGCTTGAGCTCGTGCTCACGTACTTTTGTACCAGGCATTCCTGAACCGGCGATTCCCGAAAATTGTCCATTCTGCCTGCCGGTGGCGTCACGCCGCTGGAAAGCGCAAAGAAATTTGTACCTTCGTATGGGCATTACATTCGTTCACCGTTTTCTCAATACCATATTGATTTTATAGGTACTAAATCACATAGTATAAACAAGAGGCCCAGGTGTTTAGAAAATAATGTTTGTTTGGGTATCTAAATAAATCGGCGGACCGCGTTTTCAAAATGCTACCGGAACTGACGAAAATCTTAGTAAAAGTGAAAAGAAAAAAAAAGATATACGAATTGGTGACAAACTAATAAAGGGGGAGAATATGAGAGTGCCGAGCTCAGATTGAAAGGACTGGTGGGTACACGCTATGCTATCTGCCTTTGCGTCTACCCATAGAATCTCTCCAACCAGAGCGAACAAGAACCTGGTCTGCACCTCTGCCAGGGTCTGGCGTTTGAACGCTGGACGCCGGCGTTCCTCCTCTAGCGTTCTAACGTACCCGCGTACTCTTATTTTTTCCTCTCTCTCTCAGTTCATCACCGCATTAATGACGCTGTACTACAATTCATACTTGACACGCGTTCGCACACGCTAGCCCGGATATCCGGCCACCTGCGGAGAACATCACGACACATCTACCTGCGACGAATCGTGCGGCAGGAGCGACCCTTGTCCCTTATTTCATCCGGCACCTTTTCTTATTTTATTTTGTAACGTCATACCAGCTGTCGCCATCGTGACAACGAGCGCTGCTCAAGCCCACATTTGTTTCCTGTGCAAGTTTATACGCCGAAACGTTTGCTGTCCCGAAATATTGTCTCTTTTGTCTGGATGAAAGGAATATAACACGTTATTTTCGGGCTGTTATCTGTTCATTTATTAAGTATACAAGAACATAAGTCCGCCCTCTTCCGAATCCGTTAAGCCGCCTCAGAACAACGGTGCAAAGACGTGGAAATACGGGATCCCTGGGGGATCATACTGCTAGACAGGTTTAACACGATTATTATTATTAATATTATTACTACTATGAGTAATATGACTACTATTCAAATTCTGATTATTACTGTTACCGTTATCCTTACATATATTATAATCATAAAAGTAGCTCATGACTTGAATATTTACCGTAGTATCCGCACGTCTGTCGGCAATGAATTGTTGCAAAAAAAAAAAAAAAAAAAAAAACGTTCATGGAATACATTTTTGTTTGCTTGCTGTCTTTATATCCCGCAAAAACTAAGGTTGTTTCTTCCTCGCTCAAGGTTCATGCTCACAGATTAAATGGCTGCGGACAGTATAAGTTCTTCTGTTTTATGTGACTGTGTTTTGGCTGAATCACGCCTCAATTTTAGTTGTCATACGTCAAAAATTAATGATTATTTACGCTTGCTAGGCGCTATTTCACGCGTGACTCGTAACTTTCGTAGATACTCCTGCATGCTGCAGCTATTTGCTCGTTAGTGTTACCTAAGTTTCAAGTTTTGTCTATTGTATGGAATTCCCTGACCGTTAGTCTAGTGCTTAGGATCGAGTTTCTGCAAGCGACGCTTTGAAAGCGTGATGTATAATCGTCACACTTCTAAATTGTTTTTCTTTTCTGGTGATTATCGGCGTTTCTTAGACACTCTTGGTATTTCGCCTCTTTCATTAGACGGCTTGTTCGCGATGCGATGTTTTGTTATAAGAAGCTCAATGCAGTTATTGACTGTCCCCTGCCACTTAGTACAATCTCATTCCATGTTCCCGGCGAAAACATTGATCTACCACTTTTGTTTACCCATTTAACATAGAATCGGACTCTCGACTTACACGCATGCATCCTATGTACAACACGTTTAATAAATTTCATGTCGACTTGCTCATTTTGAAAAAAAACAAAAAGGTCATGAAAAGTGCACTATTCATGTTTCCTCGCAGTATATTATTCTCCTTTAGGCTCGTGTAAGTACACACCGCCTAAGGTCTACTTCTGTTTGGCCTCTTCTCACAATAAGACTCACGATTGATTGATTCATTTATGCATTAATCATTATCAATATTACCATCATTATTTTACCATTTAGATATTAGCATTATTGCTATTATTATTCTATTTGGAAGCACAGTCGACGCTTCTTATGGTCACACAGAGAAGCGGCACGACACCACTTCAGCGGTCGAACTCTACCTACTTGTTGCCGGATTTATTTTGCACTGAAACACCTCATTGAATGAAAGGAAATGGGTTCGACAAGCACTAGACCTGCTTGAACTCGTTGCAGCAAAGTGAACACGCCTAACTTATCGGTTGCTTTCTTTGTTTCCTTTTCTTTCGCTCTTTCGTTATCGTTCTTTGTCTTGGAACCTCAGTTGTCAGCCAATGAACCGAATTACTAACTGGTTAAACGTCATATCCGGCATCACGGTTTGAAAAGGGGGACCCAATAAACACACAAGAAAGTGCAAAATACATACGGTCAGCTACGTAGCTTTTTGCAGAGTGTTTTTCGACGTTGGCGTGTCACTAATCGTATATTGACTGCCTTAAAGTTTCTGTAAAAACACTCACCAAACAGAGCTTGGGATTATCACTTCGGTTGACACGGTTCACTTCAAATGCATGGGCCCTTCCGCGTGCTTCAGACTAGAACCTAGACAGTTCGCAGAGTATACATCGCAGATTGTCGCCTCGGCAACCGCGAAGATTATGCGATTACCGGCACAAGTGCAACACAAGCCACGTACGAGCCAAACATCGGCAGTGAGTGACGTCACTAAACAGCTGTGCTTATCCAGCCGAGATCCCCGGTTCTCGTCATTGTTATCAGCGAATTTCTATGCCGTAAAGGAATCCTATAAAATCTAAAGATTCTCAGGCGCGGCACTTGAATCACGCCAACAGGGCACTCCCACGCGTATACGTACAACAAACAGGAAAATTAGATCGAACACGTTGCACACCGCAGGAGAACTGGGAGAGCTAAAAATGAGTCCTTCGTTTTTATTTTTTTATGTAACAGTGCACATAGGCCGTTCCAATAGACTTTTTCAGCGCTTATCTCCCAGCCGAGAAATGCTGAGTCACTGAACTGTGGACGCATGCGCAGCGTCTGATCTGCCGCACACCAGATAAACAGCGCCCAGCAGACAAAGGTGGTAGCGCGCAGATGGCGCTTTTTGGAAAGGTCTATAGGCATGTTTCTCTCGGCTATAGGCATCCTGCGTTGCCCAGGAGGCGCTGCGAAAAATGACTTGTTAGGACTTGTTTTGGGTAGTACAAACTTGAGCAACTCAGACTGCCACACATATAGAAGCGTGCCTGCTCTGGGGCGCGGAACACGATAACGAGGAAAATAGAAAAAAACAAAAAAATGCTAACGCCGTCGAAGCACAGGCGAAATCCAGGACGATAAGAGCGTGAACCAAGAAATGCCGTATCACGCGTCCCAAAGAAACATAAAGGGGAAGAAAAAACAAAAACAAAAACGTCGGGACGTCAGATGTTCTATACTTCGTTTCAGCTTCGGTCCGAGCGCGGCCGATGTTATGAGCCGGAGGTCCAATCAAACAGCGAAAGAGGTGCAACGTCATGGCGTGCTTTCTGCAGTTGATAGGACCAGCCGGTATTCGCCGTCTCTCTGTGCGTGCTCCTCCGCCGGCTAGTTCTATAAAGCGCAGAGAGCACGCCATGACGCTGCGCTTTTTGCGCTGTATGATTGGCCCTTCGGCTCATAAAACAGGCCGCGCTCGGACCGAAGCTGAAACGAAGTATAACGTCACCACTTAGCGATATGAGACGCGTACCCTAGTGGTGGTGGCATGAATTTGGAACTTTCTTTTGTCCTGCGGCTTTGAATGTAGCCGATATCGGACGTCCACAGGCGTTTTTCTGTTCTTCTTCACTACACAGAAGGAAAAAATCACGGCGGAGGCGCCACAATAGTGGAAGTCCCAACCAGGCGAGCTTGTACTACCCAAAACGAGGGCGCTGCAGTTTGTTCAAAGCTTCAGCGCAGGAGGCCCATAGGGAGTGAAAGTGTGTCCCTAGAACGCGACCACGTAGAGCTTGCATTGAGCACAACGCGGCACTGCAGCGTTCGATCATGCACGAATCGCAATCGTTTAGAAGCATGTGCCAGTCACTGATATCTAATGTATTAGGCTGAATAGCGGATCGACGCTGGTTTTGCTGGGGTCGAGAGGCACCCCCAGTGGTTATTACTTGACACCAGCAAAGGCTCTGAACCCTATGGGGGAAAGGTAAAGAAAGTAAGATTCCTCTTATTTGTATTATATTTTGGACAACCAAACTTCGATAAAATTTTCTATAAATGGTGAAAATTAATTTTTTTTTCTCTCTCTCTCTTTTTGCGTCAATACTTCCTACATTAAAGTTTTAGGGGAAAACTATTTTTCTATCCTCCGTTGATTACCTCCACGGGCCCCACGAGCCGCACGAGCAGCCTGTGGGAGCCATGCCGTCATGCAGGCAGCCAGAAAGGTTGGCTTTGATGTTTAATTTTATAATTTTACTGACGAAGTATCCTAGATTCTGTTTCAGGCGTCATTTTTGTTTCCGCCAAGCGTGACGAACAGCGTAATCAACGGATTGTGTGGATGTGTGTCTTGATAGAGCTTGCACGAAGCACATGCCACCTTGGTTGTGGTTGTTCTTGTTTCTTTCTCTTAACTTACAGTTCAGGTCATTCATTTTTTTTTTGCGCACTTTTGCCTTTGTTGCTGCTGCGTAAAGAACTTTTGTTTTTATTCATTAATCTTAAAAAGATGTTAGAAACCAGCGCAATCTTGCTATAACGCATCGATAGCAGCAGACGACAGAGACGGACACACTGTTTCTGTAATATAATAACCTTCTCAACCATTACTGACGAATGAAATTGCGTCTTACTATTCCTGCGAAACCTAAGTTGATTCACAAGAGACTTCGCAAAGGCATCAAAAACTTTTTTTGTATTCGTTCCTCCTACTGACTGGCATCTATTACCTGGTGTTAAGCGATGGCCACCGGTGGTGCCACCGTCGGCCTGCCTATCCGCCATCCAGCCTAGTACAACTATGGTCGGTGGTATCAAAATATGTCTACGCGCGATAACAGAGCCTGTGAAAATCAAAGAGCTACAAAACTTCTAAACAGACAAAAGAAAAACGCAGCTCGTGCTTTCAGTGTCCTATCAAAACGATCCTTCCCTTGTGGCTTATTTGTTCTTATTATTTTTCCGTATATTTATATCCATTAATTGAATTCTGCCGGCTTAGCGTCCGCCAGCAACGCGGCCGAGAAAGAGCCAGCCGGCAACGGTCAGGCGGCGCCGGCAGAACGAACGCGATTCCACGGTTTTACCCAGCTTCTGTTTAACTTGGCAAGAGATCAACGCTACGCCTTAGATTGCCTTCCGACGGCTTCGATGTGTGCTACATATATACCTTTGAATTGCTTATCCCCCGGTTTAAAAATGCTAAGTCACTGAGCTGTGGGCGCATGCTCAGGGTCTGATTTACCGCGCAGTAGAGCTACAGCGCATGTTCAGAAAGCCTTCCACAGCCCAGCAGACAACGATTGAAGCGGGCAGAAGGCGATTTTTGCAGAGGTCTATTCGAGCGCAACACACACATATTAGAGCATGACGTTGCAAAACGCCTGATACTTCTTCGCAGTAAAAGCGCGCTCCGGCGAAGCGTATATCACATGCTTCACTCAGTTGTTTCTATTGGCCCGCAGGGGCCGTAGCTTCAGCCGTACTGGCATGTTATTCGCCCACGGCTCCCTGGCCTATCCAGCATTTCTTGCTTCAGATTCTATGCGGAGCGCAAGTTCGTCTGCTTCTTTGGAGGGGTTGCAATGATGTCAGAACGCCGAGCTCTTATCGGCTGATTAATAAAAATTGTGGGTTGACTTCAAGGAGTCTAGAATTGAGGACTACCCACAATCCTTTCAATTAAAGCCAATCAGAGCTCGTCGTCGTTCTGACGTCGCCGCAACTCCTATACTAGAAACAGTCGACTTTCTCGCCGCATAGTATGCCGGCTGGAAGGGGAAGTCTGCCGGGCGTCGTATGCACGCAATAATGAGGGGCGTGAGACGTGTTGAACATTTTGAGAGCTTATACCCCTGTCAGACGGGCTAGTTTAGTGTCACTACAAGCGAGTGCACTTCAACACGTCGAAACACACTCCAAGTGCGTTGGTGCTACACGGGAAAACTTAGTGTCACTCCAAAATGATGGCAATAACGATGGTTGAGTAATGTTGAGTAATGGGCACGCAAAATATTACAGTGCATACGCACTTTTTCATAAATAACATCGTCAACTTGTTAGAAACAGGTTACCACAGATTGTTGCGCTAAGTCACGAGCTTTAATCCAAATTTAAATCCCATTTGACAATTACGATCAGCCATTGCAAGCCAGTGATACACGTCCGCAAGCCGGTACGATGCTCATCCAGATGGAAACGAGCAGGGGTAGGGATTGAACCCAGGATTCCTTTGTTCTGCAGCGCGAGCTTTCGCTCCGCGTGCTCCGAGCTAGTGTGCGCGAGCACACTCGGCCACTAGCCACTCGCCACAACGAAACATCATGGAGTGTGTGGAGGAAGAGCTGGAGGGCGATGTCCGCGATGTCGGACAGTGGACGCGCGTGGTTGGTGCACTTTTCTCCGTGAGAGCGCGACGCCTTTCAGATGAGAGGCAGCTGGACCTGGATGCCGACACACAGGCAAGAATTTCAAGTGACATCGATAAGCAGCTGCAGGCCAATGCCTTCACCATAGCCGCCCGCTCTCATGACCGACAAACTATCCGTGATCAGTCAAGAACGGTGGACTTTCCAGAGAAACGAACGGTGGTTCGAAGACACCTTGCCCCATTTGGGCGAGTTCCATTTCAAGCAAGCCTTTCGCGTCTCTCCTGCCACCTTCAAATTCCTCGTGGAGTCTTGCAGGTGCCTCCTGGCCGTCGCTGGCGGCCGCGCACGGGCCAAGGCTGGAGACTAGATTAGTCACTTGTTTTTCTACAATGCACTACTTTCCTGCCAACAGAAGACAAGTGCGCATCTAATAGTACTCATATCAAAATAATACTAATTTTATGCAGCGTTAATTTCTTCTATTATTTTTACTCCTTGAACACTGCTATCGACATTACACACTCGGCCTACCGGAGAGAGCGTAGTGTGCTCCCCGAACTTACTTCATTGAAAGTGAGTTCTACTGGCAGGGCTGGGGATTGAGCTCAGTATCACTGGGTTCTCCATCTCCAGCGCGAGCTTTCTCTCCACGTACTCCGATCTGGTGGGTGCTAGCCCACTCGGCCACCGATACCCCTTAATAAAAACACGTTAAAAAAATTAGACGTTTACAATTCTCTGTAATGCCGAATTGGAGCGCAGCTCTTGAGGAGGAGGGAGGAAGGGTGCGAAGGGGAGGGTATGCCAGCTGCTCCCGCTCCGTACCCTCCCGTCCTCCTCTTCTGTTCCCATCCCACGTAGCGTAAAAATTTCGCTAAATTTTCCGCTAAATTTAGCCGGGAGATTTTCCCGCTGAATTGACGTGTGACGTCACATGACACGTAATCAGACATTTTAGATGTGACGTCACGTGACATCACATGGGCAAACCTTTTCCTCTAAATTTAGCTGAAAAATTTTCCGCCAAACTTAGCAAAAACTTTTTACCGCAACCTTTATCGGGAACATTTTACCCTCGTGACGTCACACGTGACGACACGTGACGTCACGCTTAACCTCATTTTGGGAAACAGCCCTTAATGCAACACGCGGTTACGCCGACGCCGCTCAACTTAGAAACGGGTGCCTAGGAGCTGTGCTCTAAAACAACGTTAAATGAATTAACGATTTTTTATGCCATTTGAATGATTCTGATCGATCATCGCAATCCAAGATAAAGAACGAAACATTTCCAACTTTGGCGTTCCACTTCGTTCCACGGAAGTCT